ATTTCTGTCCAAGAGTTTGCTAAAAAATCATAACGGGGATTATTTATTCCTGACATTTTTAAATAAGAAAAAATAACAAATACAAAATTATGACAAAATATCTTGTCCTTAATTTTAAATAACAACAAACTATTTAGACAAAAACAATAATAATGTGCCACTTAACTACCGACAGAGAGATGCTGGAGAGATGCTCCACGTACATGAAAGATTTCAAATGAAAACTAACGGGGACACTCACACGTGTGTCCTGCACAATTTTTTTTTAATACATGGTGGAGCCCACCATATGAATCATGTACTTTTATGTGTTTGTCTCCCATTATTGGGAGAAAAACGGAGTAATGAATAGTATTTTTTTGAGAATGCGTGATTGAAATTTAAAGTAACTTTATTGGTTTGTATGTAAAATATTTTATTGAGTGAATGTGTAGTGAAGAATCTTAATGTAGCAAACAAATTTTTGGAATAATGGTAAACAAATGGGGGATTAATTGCAACAAAAATGTAGGTACATAATAGTACAAGACAATGACATGCCTGAACAATAAAATATGTTCACAAGGCAATTTATTGCTTTTTTTTTTTTATTTTTTGAGAACCTAATTTTGAATTTGAAAAGACTTTTTAAGTATTCAAAAGTCTAAATTAAGGGCATGTTTGTTTTTTATTCTTAAATTTTACAGTAAATTAATTATCATTTTTAACCACATATTTTTCAATAAAATAATATTTTCCACCACATCAATAATTTTTTCTTCTTTTTCAACCACACATTTCTCATCATATCACTATTCAAAATCAATTCTTCCCCTAAAAATCCCTCCCAAACAAGGTTTGGCACAACTTGCACGTTATGATGGATAAGATTTCTTATTCTCGTCCAGTGTGTTTTGAGTCGGTTGTTTAAGGGCCTGTTTGTTTTTTATTCTCAAATTCTACAGTAAATCAATTCTCATTTTCAACCACACATTCTTCAATAAAATAATATTTTCCACCACATCAATAATTTTTTCTTCTTTTTCAATCACACATTTCCCATCATATCACTATTCAAAAATCAATTCTTCTCCCAAAAATTCCTGCCAAACAAGCACTAAATATACTTAAAATAAACTATTAAAATTATAAATGAAAAAAATAAGTCATAAATAAATTAATATTAATTATGAATTTCTCAAAATTGTAAAAAAAATAGTTTGAATAGTTATAAATCATTTATAAACATAAGTCAAATACGATGCAATTATCTTCGTCAAATTATCAATAGTATTTTTAATAGTTAAATTTCAAAAAAAAAAAAATACAATCTAAGCTTTTAAGAAAGGTTTTTGAGATTGTAAACTTAGGAGTTCCAAGAAATTTACAATCGAAATTGTGAATTCAATTTTTTTAAAAATTACGTGGCAAAAAATGAAATTTGATGAAATTATAATCTAAAAAAATGCTTTGTCAAACATGGCCAAATGTAAAGTTGTCAGGAAAAAAGCCAAAAATTCATTTGTACAATCATTAGTGTGTTCACATCATGATTGTACACGTAGGGGAAAAAAGTATCAAGACTGGAAGCATTTCCCTATTCATTTGCCATTTCTTCTCTTCCATTTACAGGATTCCATTTCACAAACAGAAACTCGCAATTCTCTCATGGCTGTTGTAGAGGTCTGTGTTAAGGCTGCTGCTGGCGCCCCTGAAAATCTTGGCGACTGTAATCCACTCTTTCTTCATCCCTTTCTTTCCTTCTTTCTTTACACGCACAAGACTCTGTAGAAATGAAATCTTTTTTTATGTTGTTTTGAAACGTTAAGGTCCATTCTGCCAAAGGGTGCAACTGACTCTGGAGGAAAAGAAAGTCTCTTATAAGACGCACCTTATCAACTTCAGTGACAAGCCCCAATGGTAATACTAACTTTTCGAACCTTTTTTTTTTTCAGTATTATCTTTTCAAAAACATCCGTGTTGATTATTGTGTATAATAATGAGAATGTGTTGTTGGGTTTGGTTTTTTGTGGGTTTTAGGTTCTTGGAAGTGAATCCAGAAGGGAAGGTGCCAATGATAAAATTCGATGAGAAATGGATTGCAGACTCTGATGTGATTGTGGGTATTATCGAAGAGAAATACCCCAACCCTTCTCTCTCCCATCCTCCTGAAGTCTCCTCTATGTAAGAATTCTCTCTTTCTTTGCATTTATATTTATACATTATCTAAAATATCCCTCTATGTGCCCCAAAAAATAAGAAAGAAAATAGAGGTATTGTTGATGGAATTGAATAGGATATTGTACTCTGATTTATCACTCTCATATTGCATACTTTTCTTTTTTGAAGCAACAATTTTAGCGCACAATTAAAACTGGTTTTAAGCTTTGTCAGAGTGTTGTATACTCAGAGAGGTTGGATTTTAAAATTTTCTTTTAGATGGAAACTTGTTTAATCTAAAAGTTTCCGAGTCATTAACAAAGCACAGACATTATTCAGAACCACTAATTTTCTATAATCTTGTCAAAACTGAAGTAAGAAACCAAAGGACTTCACAAGTAATTCTCTTTTATAGATGCTTTAGATCTTCCTGAATCAATTAAATGGAGTGGTAGGAAACGATTCACGTAGGCTAACAGAGAGAAAAGTGCTTAGTTTTTTGTTGATATTTGGGCTGCACCATCTCCTAACATAGATGGGCAATGTTTAAAATGCTGTACCTGGAGACTTTGGCTGAACAGAGCAGACTCTTCATTTTAATGTTAGACATTGCACTCATAACAAATAATATGAGGGTTTAGTTATTAAATAGTATGCAATTCTCTTAATCATCCTGCTAATTGTTGTTGATTGTTTTGGTGATTATTTTCCTTGTTCAATTTTTGAAATGAAGGTGGAGTGTTGTTTTGTGATCTCCGTCCTAAATTACATACTTTTTACTAATAATACTCAAATATCTCGGTGATCCTTTATTAATCAATATCAGAAGGAAAGGCTCCAATGGTTTCAACTGGTAAACTAAAAGTCATGTGCTTGTGCATGTGTTCTTCATATATTCTTGGCTACAAAGTTTGCCAATCTTGATGAGGATTGAATAAGAACAATATCTTTATTTGGAAAATGAAATGACAAACTCTTCTCCTCACATTTATATGGTAGTCGTGTACATTTAAATACAGGAATTATAAATTCTATTCTAGGACACTAGCTAAGAATAAGGCTGTGATTTGCAGAGAATAAATGTGCTGTGATTTGTTGGCTGTACAAGCATTATCTCCGGGAGGATGGGTTGTGGGTGAGTTTGGGAGAGGTGGGGATCGAATTCTCGTGAGAGGATGGCTCTCCTGATACCATGATGAGGATTGAATAAGAACAATATCTTTATTCAGAAAATCAAATGACAAACTCTTCTCCACACGTTTACATGGTAGTCGTCTACATTTAAATACAGGAATTATAAATTCTATTCTAGAACACCAGCTAAGAATAAGGCGTGATTTGCAGAGAATAAATGTGCTGTGATTTGTTGGCTGTACAAGCATTATCTTCGGCTATTTGTCTGATTTATTGTCATTTGCTTGATTTGTGTGATCTTCCCTTACAGATTCGTGGGTTATATTCTTTCTGAAGTCATGAAATTTTTTCAGAATTTCATCATGATTTATTTGTTGGGTTTTTGTTTTCTCCAATAAACTAGTGTTCTTTGTCGCGGTCATCGGGATAAAAGCAAAACATAAACACAAGTCTATTTTAGTTTTGCACTTTTTCTGAGCAATTTAGTGCTGTCTTCTTCTATTTTCTAAACTTTGACCATGAAATCTCAGGGGTTCCAAGATATTTCCTTCGTTTATCAAGTTCTTGAAGAGCAAGGATCCCAGTGATGGATCAGAGCAGGTTCTGCTCGATGAATTGAAGGCACTGGATGAGCATCTCAAAGTGAAGGTGCAAATTTTGTGTTTGAAAAAAAAAATCCTATTAATAATGTTTGTTCTGTAGCAATTGGATGGAAACTTAGTTAGTTGTACGTATGATCAGGGACCTTATGTTGCTGGAGAAAATATTTGTGCCATTGATCTGAGTTTGGCTCCAAAGCTTTACCATCTTGAGGTAGCTCTTGGTCATTTCAAGCGGTGGACTGTCCCTGAAAGCTTGAGTTACTTTCATAACTATGTGAAGGTATCCAAATTGTTCTTCTTAATCTCTTTCGTTTTGCCTTATCCTCTTTCTTTTAATTCTCTGCGGTGGCATAAATAGGATACCTGGAATTAAAGATATCTCTGCTTGCATATCTGTGTCTGAATGAATTAATAAAATCACTGTTTTCACTTAGTATTTGTTTCAAACATATTATTTGTTACCTCTGGTGTGTTCCAGGTATGTTCCTAGGGTGCATACAAAATATCAAAACTATTGTGTTAGATATGTTTGAATGTGCAAAATCATGATTGAAAATGGAAGGGTGCTCCATTTAACAATTAATTTATATACCTATGATATTGAAGCAGTTGCAGGCATGCAGCATAGAGTTATAGTCATCACTTTCACCGCTAAAATTAATAGCTATTTGCCACAATGTGTAATTAAATTAAAATCTGTGTCAATCAAAAAGAGAAATGCTAGGATGGTTTTTTTTTTTTAGGCCCCCAAAATGTTGAGGCCCAAGGCCTTTACCTAGTGGGCCTTATGCCAAGGCTGACCCTGGTGTTTCTACCCAAAAATGGAATAATTTATTTGGTTAAAGTATTAATGCTTTTGGTGATTTTTAACTTTAATTCTGGACAACCAGAAACATATTCCACAAGATCTTTTGTTTGGAGTTGCCTGTTTCTTCATCGCTATTTTTGCATGTCCATTATCTGGTCCGAAGCCTCTCCTGTTACCTGTAATTGATCATTCTTGAATATTGGTTAGTTTATTTTCAGTGAGTTATTTGGAGAAGTTGCTTTGGTCAGAGTACAGTTGGTCATAGACAAATGAAAAACAGAATAAAGTTTTAGTTCATTTGAACGTGTTAGAAGAGGGCTGGGAACACCAAAAAATAACATGATACATGTCAGTTTCTAAGGATCAGTTTAGATGTTACGTAAATTGAGCAATTGAACTGGACAGAGTGGAGTAACCGTTCTGCCATACCCAAATTTTATTGGAAAGAGTGAAGCTTTGTTGTGGGTTGAGATTCTCTTTCTTGTGCAATCACGTCCAAAGCATTTTTCATTTTATAGGGTTACCGTACTGTTATCAAGTCGAAACACAAAACCCAAAATTGTTTATTCTGCTTTCCTTTCCTGCACTGCAGTTGCTCTTTTCTCGGGAGTCTTTCCAGAAAACAAAGGCGGCAAAGGAAATTGTGATTGCAGGATGGGAGCTGAAAGTTAATGCATGAACTTGTTCTAAGATGTAGTGTAACCGTTCTGAGTTTCTACTCTGTCTTGTGGCCTCTGTTATGAATGTTTCACAATATCTAAGCCTGTTCTTGCATGCTCATAAAGTCAACTTTAGTTGCTTAGAATGACTTAAATAAATAATGTTGTCTTAGTCGCTTGATGACTGATTTGTTCAATGAATGGGTTGAAAGTAGAATGCAGTTTCTGAATGCTGCTGGATGGATTTAGTGAGTTTATTTAAGTTGGACTTTAAGTTGTGTTTTAGTGATGGTGTTAAGTGGAATGACCAACCTGGCCATTTTGAAAAAAAAAAAAAAAAAAATTGGTTTCCGACGGCCTGATGCTAATGCTCTATTAAAATGGCAAATAAATGGCAGATAGGTGCTTCCGAAGGCATGATGCTAATGCTCTACCAAATGCATAACAAAAGGTGAGTGGAGATCACATTCATGCACAATAAAGAATAGACAAACAAATGAATGTAGTTGTAGAGGAGGTAAGGATAAATTTGTATGTTGATGAGCAATTGTCCACAATGATCTCGGCCAACTCCATCAACCCTGTAGTAATTCTCGCCCTTCTTGGTGGCGGCATCAACATTCAGTGTCCGTTTGATATGACTTTTGTTTTTGTTTCTTGTAAAAGAGTTTCGTGAGAAAGCTATCGTAGGCCAACTTCCTCTAAAAGTTTTTCTAGCAAGAAAGTAATTTTAGAAAATTACTCAAATAGGTTCGAAAACATTTTCTTAGTTTTAGAAGCAGATTTTGACTTTTCAAAAGTCTTGCATATGGACTCTTAAGTTTCATTGGACTATGCATTGGCCTTGTCTTTACAATCACCCTTTGAAAACCTCTTTATACTTCTCTATGTAAGCAATCGACTCATGAATTCCTCTGTTGGAAGAAGAGTGGTGGCTATATTGTGCCATAAATAAGAACATTCATCCTTGCAAACCGCATTTAGAATGGAACTCTTATGCCGACAAGGATTGCACATTAGTAATGATCCGCGAACACTAATGCCCTGACATATCCCGATTAATTATGTTTAAATCTCTAAACCACAGGCTGCTTTTACTAAATTTAGTTCATGCTCCGCTAATGATGGTGTAAGCATTATAGAACTCTGGTGCGAATTTGAACTTCAATGATATTGATTCAGTTAAACAATCGAATACAATTATATTTCCAGATACTGACCCACCTGCTGGCATTACCTTGTCCATGTGTCTTCAGAAATATCTAATAACAAATATATTTATAAAAAAAAATTCTTCTCATAAATGTGAAGGCTAATGGATGAAGAAAGAAATTTTCTATGTGATCTTTAGTCTGGAACAAGTTCTTACACCACTCTCTTCTGTTTCTTCCCTCCGCCTCACCAAACTAACACACACAAAGAGAAATAGTTGGTAATTACAGCAACTAAGTGAGGTATTGCATTGATCGTAACACTATATTTCAAACTGGGCCCTTGTTTGGTGAGGATTAAAGATTTTAATCTAAGCCCTTGTTTGTTTCCCATAAAAATGCAATTTTGTACCGTTGCAACAGTTTATCAGCCGCAATTTTGGACAATTTTGTCTCCCACATCTTTTGAAAAAAGGGCCAAAAAATGCATTTTCTTGTTAAGATAATGGGAAACAAACAGGTTGTAAATCAAAGTCAACATTTAATTTGTACTACATACTTCTTGGGATCCACAACTTTTCAACCATACATTCCATCAACTTTTATCAAAATTTGCTAAATCGAATTTTAATCCCCACTAAACAAGGGCTGAGTTTAATTAAAATGAATGAATTTGGATCATGCTATCCCTTTGATGCCTCCTTGGGTAGCTCCACACTTTGAGATCTGCTATGGCGTTATGCCTTTATCATATCATGCACTGCAAATTTGGCTGGTTTACACTTCAATAGGGGTGCACAGATTGCAGAATTATTCCAGTAAGTTCACAACACTTCATTGATAATCTTGATGTGTGTGTGTGTGTGTGTGTGTGTGTGTGTGAGTTTTTATACACTTCCTTTGCAAGTTTCAATCTTTCTTCAAATGTTTGGTGTCCCTGATAAAAGAATTCTAATCTTCACAATTTACAGTGTAAAAACTGACTTCTCAGCTCTTGAATTTCATCTTATTGTTATCTCTTGTAAAGAAATTCTATTCAGACGCTGTCACTCAAAAGACTGTCAGTTTCATGAGCTCTAATATTGTAGAATTATCCTTGCTATAAATAATGGAGATAATTAACTGAATCAAGAATATTCTGTCATTTAAGTGAAACAAACAATTCGGTTTTTGAAATTATTTAATCCTTCTACTGATCATAATTTAGAATGGATGGCAATGCCTACAAATTCAAGATTTTTCTCGCAAAAAAACTTGGATATGCAAGTATATCTTATATACACTTCATCATTCTCCGCACCTCGCAGCTGATAGTTGCGCCGTTTATTTATGCTAAACTAAATATCCTAAGAATAAATTATTTTTTTTACGAAGAGCAACTTTAATTGATTCAACTGTCAGCTTATCAAACAAGCCTTGTGTTGGAAATTGGTTTAAAACACGAAAAAGATTGGTTAAGAATCGAAAACCAAACATTGGAAAGTGTGACTTCTTGTCAACCTCAGCCAAAACGTAACCCGTTTATTTGTTCTTTGCCGCTTCGAAATGGGGGGCTCGGGGGCAAAGCCCCCGAAAGAACGGGGACCGACCTGTTTTGGATGAATGACTAGTATGTCTCAAAACTAATTTCGGATGAATGAGAAATTGTGGTCCAAAATTGAAAGAAAAAAATGTGGAAGATCGAATGACACTGTTGCTCGAGCGAGCGACAGTATCGCTCGCTCGAGCGACAATCGAGCAAACAGCCAGCGACGGGCTCACTAAAAGTGTAACTTGAGCGACGTAACGAGCGAACAGCGGGCAAAAATTTGGAAACGCACGACTGTTCTATTTTGGCTCGCACTACTTCAACGTCTATAAATAGGACCCTAGGGACGTCCCAATCTTCACACCAATGATATGCAATCATATAGCATTCATTTTCTCACCTTTCTCAACCAAATTTTTGCATTCTTGTTGCATAAATTCTAGTTTTCTTTACTTTGCATACTGGAGTTAGTAAACCAAGTTCTGGTTTGTCATTTCTTGTGTGTTGTAGTGCTACTCACACAAAAAGATAGTCTTTATATCTTAGAAGTTGATTGCCATAAACCATATGCACCATTGGGGCCAAATTCGACTTAAGGACAAACATTTTTGAGGATTTATTTGGAGTCCATTTCCTACAGTTACTTTGCCGAAATTTACAGAATTTCTCAACGTTGTTTGTCACTCCATACACGAAATTTTCCAACACCTAGAAGCCATTAATAAAGATATAAAATCTCAAACTTTGTGGTCATTTCATACATTGTTGTATGTATCGAAATATACTTTCACGATTTTGTTGGAGGTATTTCTGGTAAAATATAGTATGTATCATTTTACTATTAATGTACGCATATAAAGTAATTTTTTAGGTCATTTTACTTGGATAGTAAATGCATTGTGAAATATCTATCATGGAATATTGAACGAATTGTTTGTTGAAAGGGGAAATATGTAGGCCAAATGTTGGGGTATTGGACTACATAAAAGTTTGTAGAGGACATACAAACATACATATTAAGTCTTATGGGGAATAAAATTAGATTTTTAGCAGATTTTGATAAAAGTTAATGAAATGTGTGGTTAAAAAGTTATGGATCCCATAAAATACGTTGTTAAAATTAATTGTTGATTTTGATTTTTTGACCTTGATAAAAATATATATTTTAATTTTTAACAAACATGGGCTAAAACAAAATACAATTGTAAGTCAGCAGAAAATATGACCTAGTGGAACTCAAAAGTGGAAGTGTATAGAATTGAACCTCATACCTCTAACGCACAAATTGATCCTTCTACTACATTTCTTTTTGTTGAACATTGATACAATTTTTAGTTAATATTTAATTATTACTTATTATTTATCGTGTTTCAAAATCAAGAGGAAGAATATTGTTGAAGAAAGTAAAACCCAAGTATCTCACGTGAAAAAAGTACTGGTTCGATGGATGCTGGATCCGTCTTTATTCTTGTGCTCTTTATATATATATATATAGCGGTTGTACCGGTTCGATGGGTGCTAGATCCGTCTTGATTCTTGTGCTCTTTTTTTTTTTTTTTCAATAAATCAGTTGGACAGCAAGCTTGTAATTCACTTGCAGTCAAATTTGTGTAGACCTTTCATTCCCTACATAGTCTAATCCTGATCATGCAATGTTACCATCACGTGAATTAGCATTGCATGCCTAATTAGTTTCTTGTTGAATGTATGGATCACAAGTACATTCGTTAACGCCAACATATTACCTTACTTCCACTTTATTATCTTAATGATAAATTAGTTCTGGCATTTAAAATAAGAAAGTTTGTTGCACGCATAACCATTTTTTTTAGAGTTTTGCTACACAAATACAATGCTTGGCAAAGGGGATGACATGCCACACACACATGGAGAACGTCGACATTTTTTAATTCAGGTTGGGACCCACATACAATGTGAGGGATCGATCAATCCCTATGTCAAGCATTATGTTCATTCAGTTTAATTCTATTTTTAACAGAAGGGGGGGTGTCAAAAGTCATATTAACAATCATCATAAAAACATGCCTCACATTAAGGGCTTGTTTGGGCCTGATTAAAATTTGATTTTAATTTAAATCAAAGTCAAACAATCAATATTAAACACATCTTTCATGATCACACATCTTTTTAATCACACATTCCAAAAATTTCTATCACAATCCACTAAAACTCTAATTTTAATTCTCACCAAACACCCTCTAAATTTTTAATATTGACTCAAGTTAAAAGATAAAATTTAGTCAGGGTGTCAATGAGACGAAGTGGCAATTTCCATTCCCTTCCTGTCTCGTCAAAAATTTTCAAAAAGCAGGACGTAAAT